CAAAAACAATTGTGTTTTTCCAATTTTTGGCGCTGTCAGAACCACCGCAAGGTAATTTTACGCAGTCCTGTGAAGTTTTGTTGAAATCGGTTGAAAAATGTAGGAAATCTGATCCAATATATAAACGTATAGACACACACACACACACAATCTGCGTTTTATAATAAGTAAGATTAACTCTCCTCGATCTTCGCAACACTGCACTCTTGGTACTTCTGACCACTCTGTGATAGCGATTGATATTTCGTTCCAATCCTCATTTAAACAGGAACCCCTATCTCCAAGACCTCTTTCCGTTACCAGCATGCTGATTGGGACTCATCCGTGATTTTCTCCGTGACGCCCCTTGAACTGACATCTTTAAACTCCCAACTGAAAATTGCGCCACTAAAGTTTCTTCTTTCGTCAAAGTCGGCATATTCGCGTTCATCCCCTCTCAGCAATACTGTGTGAAATCTCAGTCCTCTCTATGGTTCATTTTAACATGCTTGGCCGCTATAGCGCACAGGAACCACTATTTTCGGCTATACCAGCGTGATGGCACTCGTCACAACAGACGTCTATTTGTTGCTGTTCGTAATAAATATAAGCGATTCCTCGAATGAGTAAAGTCACTCAATCGCTGAGAGAATGAGGCACCGCATAGCCTCTAACATTTTTGGCTCTCGCGATTAATGACAGTTCTGTGATAGGGCATTAAATAAGTATAAGCTCTCTATTCTTTCTTTCTCTAATCTTCTGTTGATAAAACTGAATGCTTTGCTTGTAAATTCTCCTCAAACTCTACTCTTGGCTCAACCGGAATATCCCTGCGTAACTTCCTTCCTAGAACTGAGTCTCCGTTGAGTGATATGCATATAACCTCTTCCATGGTCTCTGTTATGATCTCTAACCTCGATCCCCACAAGGCATGTGGAGCCAATGTTATCCTTGTAATAGTCTTTAAGAAGTGGGCTCCCGAACTGTCTCCTGTTCTCTCTAAACTGTATAATAAGCGCCTTGCTGTCTCTTGCTTTCCTACCTGCTGGAAGTCATCATCTGTTGTTCCAATTTTTTAAGTACTGGTGAGTTGTCCGACCATTCCAACTATTGGTGTATTAGCCTTCTACCTCTTTTGGGGAGACTTCTAGAGGTTCTAATTAACGCTGAATTGGTTCATCATCTCACATAGCAGGGCCTTTCTCAGACAGACAATATGGTATTCTTTTTTCCAGTTCAACTCCTGATGTAATGACGATATTTACGGAAAGATTTTATCATGCTCCAGGTAAAAACGGGTGGAGCCCGGTCTGTTGCATTGGACATCCCGAAAGCCTTTGACAAGGTCTCACATTCTGGTCTTCTCCATAAACTGAAAAGTTATGGTGTCTCTGGACACTTTTCTGGACCGATCCAGTCTTTCCTATCAAATCTTTAAATGAGAGTTATCCTGAACGGCCGCTCGTACAGATCATTTCGTAGTAACACGGGTGTCACCAGAGCTCCATCTTTGGTCCTAGTCTATTTTTAATTTTCATAATGAGCGTTCTCGAGATATCAGCTATAAAATCTCTGTCTACGTTGACGATACCAAAAATTTATTCCTGCCTCCACAATTCATGCTTATCAGTCCGACAAGGTGAAAATGGCAGCCGATGTCTAAAGTGTCCATAGTAAACTGGAGCAAAGGATAGCTTGTTAATTTTAACGCCTCCAAAACTAAACTTTTCGCCATTAATCATCTGAGAGACCCTTCACAGCCTTCTCTCATCATGGCTGATGCAATTCTCCAGGAAAGTCGCTCGTTGTGCCTTTTCCGGCTGATGTTCTCTGCTGATATGAAGTGGAAAGACTACATTGAATCCATTGCTACGCCAGCTGCTAAGAAAGTCGATTCACTATGTCGGGCGAGACACTTTTTCTCTCCAAAATCTATCTTACATATCTATAAGTCTACCATTCGTACATGCTTAGAATATTGCTACCACAATGGTCCGGTGCCTCTGTTATTTACCTTGAGCTCATTGATAATATCCAAAGAATAATCCGCAATATTATTGAACCTGATCTGCCGGCTTGGCTCCAGTCCCACCGCCATAAGCTTGTGTCTCTCTATGTCTTTTCTGTAAATACTTCCATGGTCCGAATGAGCTCTTCGCTATGGCGCCTAGAGATTTGGTATTTAAGCGCAGTACTAGACTGGCGTCGAGATCTCATCAATTTACTGATATGACTGCAAATTCTATGCTAACAGTATCTAGCTTGAGGGACTCCCTTCTGGCTCCTCGCTTTCCAGACAACTTTAATCTGTGTAAATTTAAATGCAATGTCAATCGCTATCTACTGTTCATCTGATTACTCTATTCTCTTTCTACACATCATTAATGTCTCTGTTTCTAATTCTTCCAAACCATGTAAGCATTTGTGTCTTAGTGGCATTACTACCTTAGTTGGGGTGATTCTGACAAACACAAACATACAAGCACATACACGCACACACATATATATCTATACATATACATTTTTATTTGTATTTTCTATAACCATGCCATTCTTGCATTGTGAAGCCCTACGCATTGAAATGTTAATGTTTTATTGCGTATAATCTATAGCGTCATTACAAAAAGTAATGCTTTTGTTTGTGTTTTAGTCTGCTAACTTATTCAGAGGGAGTTATTGATTGCTGATTGTTTCTTAAATGGGAATGTGTACCAAATATAGCTTACTTTATAGAATTATTACAAGTTTACTTTGGTCATTTCTTTCAATGGACATAGGCATAAATTATCTGTAATTAAATTATGGAACAAAACAATAATTTTGACTAAAGGAAAACAAATGATAATCAATTTGTTAATCGGCTTATGTTGGAAAAGTCGTTTCCAAACAGCTTCGTGTTAGTGTAAAACAGATATTTTGCGTCCATTTTATCATGATTTCATTTTTTTTAATATTTTGTCCAGACGATTTGTTTATTTATAGGAATACTTACTTTGACTGAATAATAATGACATGAAAGTTGGCATGCGATAAAAAAATTTATGAATTTAAATTTTGGAAATGCTACTTTTCAGAATAATCGACTCGAAATACGGGTTTGGCGTTCGTCTTGCATGGTACATGTATATTTGGCATTGTAGAATTTTCTCCTGAATTAACAAATATGACAAGGAATAATTATTTTTGCCAAGATGTGTTTTTTTTCTTTTGCTTTTATTCTTTCATTGTGTTAATGTCGTTATTTCTTTCTTTCTGCTCTCAAATATTATTTCCAAAATTGTACAATATGAGACTGACTCGATTGACGTTTCTTTGTAACTAATATTTTAACATCTTATCAAATAACCATTCCACCAATTGACGAGGTGCAAGACATGACATGTAGAATATAAGAACATTCTATTAATGTAATCAAGTAGTCCTGTATGACTATCAATCTAATTTAGTAACCTTCACTTTCGACTACAGCAGAGGTATCCGACAGATCAGTGAATCTTATGTACCTTGCTGTGAATCCAGGTCATATATTCAGCGCTCACTACATATTTCCGCTATCAGCTCTTGGTGAGTATAATTCCTAAAAAAAACACAAAAAAACTCCAAACGCTACAGATCGGCATATTAAAGCAACAGACAGACAACTTTTCGAAATATATATATTATTCTCTATTTACAGTGTGTATTTTAACACCTGATGAATTCACAATGGAAGTACTGACGGCGTGACATCTGATTATTCGCAAAAGAACATCACAGCTTGTTTTACTAGCGAATTAAATAAAAAATATTTTGGTGAATACTAATTATTTTAAACTTCCAATCAATAGTAATCATATTGTCGCTATTTTTAAAAATAAACACTCAGCACTTTAGATAAAGTTATTAGAACACATAGAATTTATTTGCCGATATAAATTGTCCCTTTTAAGGCTAACAAGCGGATAACTTTTTGGGTGGTTGAGCAGTAACGTTATTGTGGGAGAGTGATTTAATCAAGTGCTCCCTTATACTCTCTCTTCTCTATCGACCATTGTGGCATGCTGTATTTCTGAAGAGAACTGACGATGGAACAGATCGCAAGGTGGAGTCATGTTTTTTCGATGATAGTAGGATCAATTGAACCTAAAGATTACACTCATCGATTTCGCCTTTGATTCTGATAAGCGCTAGGCAACTGCTATTTGCCGTTAATCAACTGTTAAAGTACTTGAGCTTTAAGCTATGTCAGTAGCATATAAAATTGGAATCTTCAAAGAAGATCCCCAGAGTCGCGGTACAACGATCCAGGACGGCGATGAAGAAAAAAGGAGGCGATGGAGAGGCAAATAGAAAAAAAAAGTGGTTGTTAGGGTGGCATGATAACCAAATAATAATTATTTTTTTAATTTCTATGAAAAAAATTACTTAAGCAACACGTATGCATTACAAAGAATAACATTATAAAGAAACACACACTTTTATTTTATTTTGTTGTCCGAATTAAATGTCCGAACATTTCTATCTTGTTGGCATTATCCTGAAAGGAAGCGCCATACGCCAGCCAAATCAGACAGTAGACATCTGAATAGGACAGTACTTTATGTTTATAGGCAAAGTACTATAACAATAGATGTTCATCTGGTGACAATCTAATTACATCCCAGAAACGGACAGGATAGGCTGGAATTGGGATAAATTATTTTCAATTATGTATCAGACGGCAAATAACTTCAGAAATCCATGCAAGACTCCGAAAAATGAAAAAAAAAAAAAAAAAAAAAAACAGCAATGCATAATTTTAAAACACATTTAACAAAAATGGATGTGAGATGTTTCTTAGTAAGGCGATGTCCTAGAAAAAATCGGGGATCACTGGTATAAACGAATAATTATAGAATTTTAGAACAGAAATCTAAGACTTAAGATTTTTTAGGTTTTCATTTGGCTTACTCCTGGCATTCTTGAAAAATCAGATTGTCAAATGTTGCATATTTTAGTGGGTCCAACTGCATATTATTCACCAGGCACATTGTCGTTTGTTTTTAATGTGGACGAAGATAAATAAGAAACAAACAAAAGCACAAATCGATGCACAAATATTTGTCAATAAATATGAACTTGTATGTTTCTGCACATGAATGGACTAAAGATTAAAAAATACAATTCTCTAAAGAGCAAAAACATCACGTTTAAATCAAATTTAATTTATCTAAACAAAAACAGAGTAGAATCACTCCGGTAAACAAAATAAAGCCATCGCCTTTTTTTTTTAACAAAATGGATTCTATTCATCTTCTGAGAGAAAGCGAGAACCACTTCATTTTGTTTTGCTTCCAAAATTGCTACTTCGTTTTACCTCGCGCCAAAAAAAAAGAAGCCCTGATCAATGATCTTTAGTCTATTTCTACTTAAATGCTGGCGAGATAAAACGAAGACCAAATATTTTGGGTTTGTTTCTAAATAGATTTTTCCAACTGGTAGGAAAAAGAGAACTAAATTATTGCATCCAAAATTTCCTATGCTCATCCCGTCGCTATTTAGAGTCAGCATTCGAGTGTCCGTTCAAAGAGCGATACACAGTCAGTTTCCAACGGAAGTCTTCCAAATGGGATATCATCCGATCGTTAGCAAATGTGATTTGATGGACAGAAAATTTGTTATTACTGTAGTTTTTAGGAGCATCAGCATTATATTGAAATCTCTATCTATAAAAGGCAGGATGTGTGTGTGTGTATAACGAATGCACGGCCGCAATTTTCGACGGATTGCACCAGAATTTACATGCACATGCTACAAGTTAACGGAAAGGCCAAGACCGACTTTGCATTTCTCAACTCCCATCGATAGTGGAAATAATCGATTTTTTCATGTTTCTACGGCAGTTTTCATGTAGATTACGGCCATTTTCTACTGGCCACAGTGAGAGACTATAGCTAGCTGCCACGAACAGGCAGGAAGATTCTATTAGCCAGCGTGAGAGCCAACAGCTGACTGACACGAATGTTAACTAGCATGCTAGCTGCATTCATCACAAGTGGGAAAAATTTAAATCTTCATGCCACTTTATTCCAATTGGCTCATTCGCTTGCGTAAGCTCAACGTTGATTCTGATTCCGCAGAAGTGGGTTGGGTGTGAAAAACTATTTGTTGTTAACATTCTTTTTTCATTCGTTTTTTTTCAGTTGCGAGTCTTTTTTTAAAGCTGATCGTTTTGTGTTCATTTTGTTTAGTTCTTTTTTCGTAACAGATTTAATGTTTAGTATAGAGCTTAGAAAAAAATCGCAGTGTGAGATAGGCAAGAAGTAAGGTATGTAGCAACATCAGCATGGCAAAGGGCACTCCTTTAAATGCAAGGAAGGGCAAAAATATTTTAAGTCAAGAGATAGCGATTGCTGTATAAGTCGTACGATTTTTGAATCAAGTACGGGCAACGCCGGGCCATGCTGCTAGTAAAACATGACTGGCAGAAAATTAAATCTTTACGTAGATCTTAGCAACGACGGCATTATATGGTATTGAAACAAATACGTTCTTACCGTAGATCGTAGGTATTAGCAACATTGGCATTATATTGTATATAAAATTGTTTGAGGGATAGGCGATTCGTTCTTACCTTAGATCTTCGCAACATCTGTATTATATGATATTAAAACACATATCAGGGATAAACGGTTGGTTCTTACCCTATATCTTAGCGACATCTGTATTATATGGTATTAACACACATGTTAGGGATAGAAGATTCGTTCTTACTGTAGATCTTAGCTATATTAGCGTTATATGGTATTAAAACATATTTTCAACTACCGTGTTTAAGGTTCAAAAAGTAGCCAAAACAGCTTGCTTTGGCACGTAAATTTCAATATTATTCAAAAGTTTCTAAAACCAAAAATTTGTAATATAACTTTGTGAAAATTGTTGAAACGTGTCAAAATCAATATTTTTCGATAGACTATTTGTTCTTATCGTAGATCTTAGCAACATTTATATTATATGGTGTTAAAACATGTTATGTATTGATGTATTGACGATTCGTTCTTACCGTAGATCGTAGTAACATCGGCATTATATGGTATTAAAAACGTGTGTGGTATAGACAATTCGTTCTTACTGTAGATCTTTGCAACATCAGAAGTATATAGTATTAAAACACATGTCAATAAAAGAAGATTCATACTTACCGTAGATCTTAGAAATCTCAGCATTAGACCGCAATAACACAGATATGAGGGATACGCGAGTTTTTCTTATCGTAGATCTTAGGAACAACCTCCTGATATTGTAATAAACGATATTTGACTGATAGAAGATTCTTCTAAACCTCGGTATACGAATTTTAGTTTTCTTATTTTATCTAAATTTCAGTTTCATTTGAAGGAAGCACTTTACAGCATCTTTTTAAAAAAAGTCAGTTATCAACTCTGCACATTGGGATCCTTATAAAGTAAGGCTAACTTATTGTTTATTTCTGCACCTGGCTGCAGATATTTGGGACTTGGTTAAGGAAGTCAATCTAATTAAATAACAGTACGAATTTTTGTTACAACCTGAAATTGATTCTTGGATTATAATAGGTTCATGAAGAAAGGTCATTTAAGATTCTGTCAACTGAGGTATTACAGTCGACGCTAATAAAACATAGTTTTGAATTATTTCACCCCAAGCAACAGGTTACTGAGAATGAAAGAAAAGAAGAAGACGTTAAGAGAAAAGCATAATAAAAGAACAAGATTCAGGAAGACAGAAGATGGCGATAGATGTTGCGTTTAATTTTTTGAAGATCGCAGGTGGCTGGGAAGCAAAACCGGAAGAGAGCCTCACAGGCGAGAAGTGCGAAAAAAGGTTAAAAGTATATGGTTTTCAGGATATTTACCTTATGATAGATAAAAAATAGATTATATCAGCTCAAAAAAAAAATGTCAGTCTGATAAACAATATTTTAAGCTTGGCAAACCGTATCTTAATTTTAAAAGCAATGGTAGGCCACTAAAGAGATTCGTGTCGTTTATGCTTTATTTTAGCCATTTTAATTTATTTTTTTGTCTTTCTTTCCGTTCTAATATAGAAAAATGGCCAGCTACACAGTAGTTTCAAACATAATGTTTCTTGATGTCAATGATCAAAGTAGAAATAGTGGTAGCAACGTTTTAGAACCGTTGGCGGTGGAATCGTTTATTAGGACCAAATCAGGAGCTGTTCACGCCAGAACCGTCGTCCGCGACGCTCGCTCCAAGCGACTTTCATTTAATAAGCTTAACTTTCTATTGTCGGTAAATTTCTTTTACTGCCGAAAATTTATTAGCATAATGTTATTCTCTTGTGTCTCCTCACCTGTAGGCGAACTACTTTTTGATTTCTTCATTTGCAAAAGACTGGGCTGGTGAGCGTAATGAAAGGTAGACTCGTATACATAGAACTACACACATACACACATACATACATACATACATATATATATATATATATATATATATATATATAGTGAGAGAGAAAAAAGAGAAAGAGAGAGTGAAAGAATGATATAAAGAGAAAGGAAGAGAAAGAGGGAGGAAGGAAGAGGGATTGAGATAGAGAGAAAGAGATCGAGGAAGATGGATTGAGATGAAAAGGTAAAAAGAAGGTAAAAAGCGAGTAATATAAAAAGAGAGGAAAAAGGAAGGAACGAAGGGAGACAGGGGGAAGGAAGAGGGATTAAGATAGAGAGAGAGAGAGGGGGAGAGATAGAAGATAAGAGTAAGAGATGTCGAGAGATATTGAAAAAATGATATACGGAGAAAGACAGAGCGAAAGAAAAAGACAAGAAGAAGACATGTTGAGAAAAAGTGAGTGTGAAAGAGTTGGAGGAAGAAAAATTAAAATAAAAATGGAAAGGGTGGGGGGAAGAGAGGGCAATATAAAGAAAGAGAAAGAGAGGAAAGAAAATAGATTGAGATAAAAAGAGAGAAGAAGCGACAGAAGAAAAATTTAAGAGATGAAAATAGAAAATGAAAGAATGATATAAAAAGAAAGTGAAAGAGAGAGATAGCAAAATAGAAAGAGGGAGGGGAGAACTGAGGGTGAGAGAGAGAGAGAGAGAAAGAACTAGAGAGAAGAAGGAAGCGAGAGTGATATAAAAAGACAGAAAGTTAGGGAGGAAGAGTGAGTAATATAAAGAGAGAAAAAGTAGGGAAGTAAGATAGATGGGGAGAAAGAGAGAGATAGTGAGAGGCAGAATAGAGTGGGAGAATTATATATATATATATATATATATATATATATATATAAGTTAAGAATAGTGATGATGTCGATGATGATGATTTTATACTGAAGTCAAAAATGTCTTTTTTTTCACTATTGTCAGTTATCCTATTTTTTCCTCTCTTCGTCTGCATCGAACGAATGGTGATTAATCTTGAGAAAACGGTAAAGAATTTCTGTGTGCAATGCGCGTTCATGCGTTCTGCTTTTAGAAGCACAAAACATTCTCGACCTTTTTACTCGCATATAAATTCTTTCTTTCTTTCTTTCTTTCTTTCTTTCATTCTTTCTTTCTTTCTTTCTAATCAGTTTTTCGTTATTTCCAGAGTTTCTCATTCGTTCTATTCTTCGATCGCTTGTTTATATTGAAAACGAAAAATCATTGTTACAAAACTTAAAATATCTCAAGGCCAGTAATATGTGTCATTCAGTGAGAATCAAACTAATTACTATAGTAGTCAACACTCGGATTATTTTGTTAACCATTTCTTAACTTGTTGTCTCAGAGTCACCTCAGATGGTGTCAAAATAGATTTGCCCTAAGTGCTTTTCAGGAAGAGCAGATACATCACCTGGTTGACCTGAGAGATATCCTCCTAACCGACTTCAGTGGCTGAACTATGTAAGCATCGGGTCGATCAGCTGGGCTTAGGATGTGCACGCGAGACAAAAAAAAAATCACACGAGAGGTAGATATATAAAACCCCACCCAAGTGAGAAAAATAAATCTCACACATTCTCGCGAGAATGTAGCGTCTATGATCGGAGATGACACCGAGGCCGACTGTAATTGATGAATTTTGGCATTGAATAAAATGAAATGTTACGTGTGAGTGACTAATATTGAGTTTCTATTGTTAGTGCCATATCAATCTCTATCGGTTATTTAATGCTGAAATCGAAATATTTTCTACGGAATTATTATTTTTTTTTTTAAATAATAATGGCTTTAGTGTTACAAGTTTTACTAATTAACACATAGCTGGCTGGAAAAGACTTGAATCATACTTATCTACAGAATGAACTCTTCTTAACACTAACAGGCTTGAATGAAGCCGATCTTGACGGCTTCATTCAAGCTTCATTCAAGCTTCATTCAAGCTTCATTTGGCTTCATTCATTCGACGGCTTGACGGTCGAACTCTCTGCTTCTGAGCAGAGAGGAACCCGGACGAGGCTACGCCGAAGGGCAGAGTCTCGTTCGGGGAGGTTGACCAACCCGATCCCTTTTATACAGGTTTTACGGGCATTTTTTGGTCGAGGCTACGGGCTCGGGAAACCCACGTTAAACTCGGCTTTGTGCCACATGCAACCCTCGTGGTGGGGTGGCTAGATACCGATTCAAGCCGAGCTTCTCGGCTTGACGGTCGAACTCTCTGCCTCTGAGCAGAGAGGAACCCGGACGAGGCTACGCCGATGGGCAGAGTCTCGTTCGGGGAGTTTGACCAAACCGATCCCGTTTATACGGGTTCTACGGGCATTTTTTGCCCGAGCCTACGGGCTCGGGGAACCCACTTTAAACTCGGCCTTGTGCCACATTAAACCCTCGTGGGGTGGTGGCTAGATGCCGAATCGAGTCGAGCCGATAGTAGTTCACTCCAAATCAGACTGACGGTCATACTAACACCTTCCACATCTTGTATTATTATTTCGTGTAATATACCTTCGTTATTTCTACTCTTGTGTTCGTGTTGTTCTTCCTTGGTCCTAACCTGGACCATAACACTTTCCAAAGGGTATTTGCAAGTAAGTGGATATAACGAACCCAACTAGAATTGGAACTCGGTTTTCCAATTAACAATTCCGAGCCATTATTTATTACACCACCCGCACTTCCAAGCATAAAGCACCTGGCATTCCCAATCGGTCACCCTTCTAAGTACTGACCAGGCTCGACGTTGCTTAATTTCGATGACCGAACGGAACCGGTATTTCAACATATCAGTTAGTCAGTTATGTGCCATGCGTGATACACACTTAGGCGATCATGTATCTTCCGATACATGAGGCAGATTTTTTTCGGCAGTAGTTTGCCATTTCTTTCTGTGGTAGACCAGTTGCCATCCAAGGCTATAGAACCCATTCTGTCTTGCTATTTACCCATAGCTGGGGGTGGTGAAAAAGAGGATTCATATCTTTCCCAAGTGTATTAGCACGTAAGTGAATGTAACGGATTCGACTGGAATTCGAACTCGGCTCTCCGATTTCTCAATCCGAGCCGCTACCCATTCAGTTAGTTATGTGCCATGCACGATACACGCTGAGGCGATCATGTATCTTTCGATACAAACCTTTTTTTCCTGCAATGCCATTTCTTTCTGCAGTAGACCAGTTGCCATCCAAGGCTATAGAATCCAGTCTGCTCCGCTACATACCCATAGCTAAGAGGAGAAGAGGAGGATTCATACCTTTCCCAAGGCTATTATCACGTATGTGAATAATGGATTCGACTGGAATTCGAACTCGGCTCTCCGATTCCTCAAACCGAGCCATTACTCCACCGTGCCTCTCATTTTCAACATTGTGTGGCCTTAATCCTTTCTATTAGTAATGTACAACGATGTATGTTCTAAAGGATCTCTTAGCTTTGGGTGATAATAAAATATTCCCATGTCAAATAACCTCTGACAACCAAGTTCAGCTTCAGGTAATATGTGATGAAAACCAACCCATATTACCTTATAATTATATGCTTCGGGTAGATGGAGATCATCAGCCTGGGAAAGCAGTCCCTCCAGTCGAAGGAAAAACCTGATTTTAAACCTCCACTGGATCGCAGCCATATTTAAATATCGAAAAGGCTTCAGAAGTAAATCCAGACGGAAAAGGGGAACTACGAATTCAGATGGCTGTAAATCTTGCAGCCAAGCAGGCTCCCAGATATAATGCCTAGTATTCATTTGGATCTTGTCGGTACGGCCTAGAGGGGGATGCATGTGGTCATGATAACACATAGCCTTCACATACCATCGCCCAGGCATGCGCCCTGGAGTAGTCATTCTAGTTTCACCACCAAAGGATGAATTTTACTACGGAGAACACATTGTTCTGTTTATCAAGTACACCACAAGGTCACAGATATAGAGCACTAAGTGTTAATCGAAATTACTAGAGAGCTGATGCTCTGCCAGGCGAGCTCTGCAACTATTGCCTCGCAGCGAGAGTTTCTATTCCTTGTCTCTTTAAATTTTATACGCTACTACATATTTCAAGTGAAATAAAGAGAAAAGTCTTGTCAAAGTAATTTTCTTGCGAGATCATCAAAGGCGGACATACAGCCTTTTGCTGTTTTTTTTTTTTTTTTTTAATTTTCCATATTATGTATTCGGCTCTGTGTGTATGGAATTTTTCTATCAGACAGTTAAAATAAATGTAAACTATTAACAATTTTAGGGAAAAGTTCACCGAATACAAGGCTCGAGTTCTACTCAAGTTGGAAGTTTACTGAGTGAGGTGCATGGTATGAACATAAGAGGAGGTGGAGAAATTGATAAAGAGGATAGATAAAGATTTGACCCTTGCCTTGAAAATATTATTGGGTTGGTGCGTAATTATCAGGCGTTTTTAAACAATATTTACTATGAAAAAAAGAAACATAACAATTCAGCAATAACATTAATGATTATTCCGGAATGTATGATTATCGCCTAGCATTGTTATGACCATGAAATAAAATAATATTTTTATTAAAAAAAGGAAACAAAACAATATTTATTAACAAATAACTCGCCTACAAAAAACGCCTGATAATTATGCACCAACTTAATAAGATTATAGTGTTCAGGGAAGTATACACGCAAGTGTTTGTTGTACAAAGTAGCAGCTCTTGGAAGGGGTTCTTTCTTAAAAATGGAATACAGAAGAAATGAGGGTGCGCCGATTCCGTGAAGATAACATGATGAAACTCTTGAATAGTGGAACTTAAGAAGTCAACCAACAACCGATGTTAAAGTCACAACGAAGATGAGATTACCGTCCAAATATATATATATATATATATATATATATATATATATATATATATATACATATATATATATATATGCATACACTGCAAGCCAAAAAGTTTGGTGCCATTCTGCATTTCTTCAAAAAATAGCATAAAATGAGTTTTTTTTAAATATTTTTTAAGTGAACAATAAAATGTAAGTACGTGTAGTGTATTTTATTTTATTTTTCAGTCTCTCTCCAGGCTCCTCTTACTACTTTTTGGGATTCGTCTTCATGATGGTTTTATTGACGAATACAAAATATGATGCTGTCGTACGATTTTTTGATGTTAAATGCTTACTTTGTGTGAAAAATTACAGGAAATATACACTGTAGTTACCGAAAGTTTATCTCATACTATCAAAATATATATGGAGTCAAAAACAAAAGAATATACTACTATAGTCAAATGAGAAATATTACAAAAGTACCACCATATAATATTACCAATAGGAACTGTAGACTGTGTTTAGAAGAAAAAATGATCAATACTAGATTTTAATAATCAAATAAAATGATTAAATAAGAAGAATGAAATAATGTATCGATGCCGACATATTAACAAATATTTACTTTGTTACTTTAATAATAATATAGCATAATAAATCAATTAAAATATTAATTAAAATTATTAACTAAAATTATTAATAAAAATTAACAAATATTCCAATTTAATTAATAATCTAACATAACAACTTCCATATAAACAAAAAAAATAAATTTAATTCGGAAGAATAATTTATTTTCGAAGAAAAAATTAAAAACGGAAAAAAAAATCTACAGCTGAAAAAAAATGAAAGACGTAAAAAAAAAAAACATTTCATGAACGTGCGCGTGTAAAAGTTAAATTCATAAATACGCACGTGTACAAAACAGAGTAAAAAAGCAGATTGAAAAAGACACGGAACAAACCGAAAAAAAATTAAAATACTGTTTAAAACCACAACCCTGGAAGACTGGAATTTTTACCAAGAAACTTCGAAGTCGGGATAAAATAAAAAAAATTAAGTAATTTTTTATATATATATATATATATATATATATATATATATATATATATGTGTGTGTGTGTGTGTGTGTGTGTGTATATATATATATATATATATATATGTATATAATCGGTATTACTCAATGCAGGGCAGTAATACCAGTAAAGCGCATGGGGTTACAGGTTGTGGGATAATTAGAAACAAAAAGATTAATAATGAGCGGGAAGAGGAAAGACTAATCAGGGGAATAGAAAATCATTGACATTGCATTTAAATTTTTATAGAATAAAGTTGGAAAGCACGGTGCCAGAAGGGAGTTCCACAAACAAGAAGTGCGAGAAAAGAAACTGTTAGCATAGAACTAACGGCTACACCTAGCCTGCTCAACTTTAAGTTGATGAGATCTCGACACCTGTCTAGTAGTGCGTTTAAATTCCCAAAGTATAGGTACAATAGCGAAGTGTTGATCAGAACAATTACCCTGAAAGTATTTATGGAATAGACGTAAAGAGGCAACATTAGTACGGTGGGAAAGTGACTGAAGCCGAACCGCCATATCAGGACCTTCTTCGGATATTATTAAGCAGCTCAAGGTAAATAACAGGGACACTGGACTATATATATATCATCAATATTCTAAGCATGGACGAATGGTAGACATATAGATATGTAAGATAGATTCTGGAGAGAATATATTGTCTCAAAGACACAGTGAACCAACTTCCTTAGCAGCTGCCCTAGCATGAATTCAATACAGCCTTTCCACTTCATGTCAGCTGAGAACGTTAGCACGAGAAGGCGCAACTAGTCACTTTCCTGGAGGCTAGCATCAGCCACACTGATAGAAGACAGGGAGGGGTCTCTCAGATGATTAACGGAAAGAAGTTTCGTTCTTGACGCATTAAAATTAACAAGCTATCTTTTGTCTCAGTTAACGACTAATTGAGATATATATGCGTGCGTGTGTGTGGGTATGTCCGTGTGTATGTATGATTGTGTATATATAAAAACTTAAGTACATTGATAAAACTAACCGAGACACTCGACGTTTATTACGCATTATTACATTTTGAGTTTTGGCGTATAGCCATATCACGCTGAGACACCGGTTCCTCTACGATCACTGAAGTTAAGCAACTGGTCAGTACCTAGATGGGTGACTGCTTGGGAATACCAGGTGCTGTAAACTTGGATGTGCGGGTGGTGCAATGGTTAATGGCTCGGAATTGTTAATCAGATAGCAGAGTTTCAATTCCAGTTGGGTTCGTTATATTCATTTAAGCGCAAATATCGTTGGGAAAGATATGGATCCACCTCTATTCCCTCTAGCTATGGGTTAATTAGTAAGACTTGCATCACTAAACCACAAAGAATATCTAAAAAATATTCTTATAATCTAAAAATATTTTCTGGCTTTGAATAAGGGTTGATAACCCGTAGAATACGAGGCAATGAATCAAATGGTTTAAAATAAAGCAACAAACGCAATTCCTTAGGTTGACAGCTTGTGTATTCCTGAAAAAAAATGAATTTAAGGATCTAATTATAATATTAGACCAACCATTATACAGTAGTCTATGAGAAAGACACGAAAATCTCACCGATATTTAGAGATTGTCCCTATCTTAAACGGAGTCTCGCCGCGGATTGAACACTTCTATTTAAAGGACAGGTTTATTGAAATTATAGAGATCCTGGGAAGGAGAATATTATTTTTTTACTGCTTAATTTAAAATAACTGCTTCGATGGCGTGTCAGATTTGGTGTTCGATAACATTGGAGTGTTGGGTTATTTGAGAGGCATAATATGTGTCCCAACGCACAAAGATCAAGCGGAAGCTCAATTCTGGAGATAACTGAAACGGATAAGGAAAGATGTCAACGCCTGCTGAAAAATGAATATTTCTTGTATAAAGTTTAAGATGTGAAAGAGCGAGAAAAAAAATCAAGGTGGATAAGACACAACAAGAGAGAAAGATAAAAGCTTCAGCACAAGTTGAGTTGAATGTTGTCTACCAAAAGCGTATAGATGAAAGATATGTGTTTGTGCGTAAAAAGGCAGCAGTGACGAGCATCAAATATATATATATATATATATATATATATATATATATATATATATATATATATATATATATATAATAAAAAAGCTTAAACACTAATATTCCATGGTCATAATTTATTCCATTGGAATCGTAAATACGATCAATTCATCAGACATACAAATTCAAAAACAATTGAATTGTAGGTCTGATGAATTGATCGTATTTATGATGCCAATGGAATAAATTATGACCATGGAATATTAGTGTTTAAGCCTTTTTATTATATCCTTACTCTTACTCTGTCCTGGACATTGAGTTCTACCTGAATTCTATCCTCTTGGAATTATTTTTTTATACAAATATATATGTATGTGTATTGATGTATGTATATATCATATATTTTGCATATGTATGTGTATATTTACCACTAATATTATCTATCTATCTATCTATCTATCTATCTATCTATCTATCTATCTATCTATCTATCTATCTATATATATATATATATATATATATATATATATATATAGATAGATAGATAGTACGGCATCTTAGAAAACTCATTCTGATCGTTCTGATAAGAAAAGAACTTCCGAATTTGTTCATGTGGGCCCCAAACTCAACACACCGGCTTGCATCAAGTGCCGTGAGGAGGTAGTGCCAATCTGGATCAAGAGGGTTGCTGCTGGAAGACCTCATGTCTGGCAAATGCACCATGCAACAGAAGCAGGAGAACTCAGACAAGTTCTGCGACCACATCACCCTACATTTAGCCACCTAACTCCTAGACTGCACTGACTTCATTATTGGGATACAGTTGGGAGAGAGACCAACAAAACTGAACTGAAGGTAAGTATTATAGCAGCATTCACCAACTTAAATTATGAGACGGCCCGGAAGAGATGCAGGCGATTCTGAAATTGTCTGGAGGCCGTGGCTGAAGCTAATGACGATTTTATTTAATTAATTTACTCTTTATTATTTCAAGATATTTTTGTGCAATTTTGGTAAATATATCTGTTAAAACGAGATGTCAGTGTTATTTCCATTTTGCGTAATTTAGATGACAATGTACCAGTCACAGCCTGTACGTATATATATATATATATATATATATATATATATATATATATATATATATATATGATAAAAATATAGTTTTAAGGTTTACTCTATTTATGGGTAAAAGTGCTCAATATCAGAGCACTTCTTAAACATGAAAGTGGAACCTGAGGTCAACATCTTAGCAGCGATCGTCTGTTTCCTGCCTCAACAAAATCTTCGCTGAATTGTATCCACTCTTCAAGAAACTTGATTGTTAAATTCTATTCATTTGCAAGAAACACATTTTCCTTAAAACACTTTGTTTTATAACGTAAACTTAATGGAAATTGTTCTTTCTTAAAAGGAAATATAAATTTTTAGGAAGAACAAAGAAGTTCAGTTCATAAAATAACGAAAATTACCGAAATGAATAAAATTTGGGGCAACGTTTAACTTCCGAACCGGAAAAATACAGTCAGTTTAAAAGTGACTTTTTCTCTTGACATTGCTATTACCGTAGCCTCCTACGACTTCCTCGGTAATGTCTGTTATTTTAGAAAGTTATGTTTAGAATTTTAATAATAACAAAAATGTTACATACTATTTAGTGGTTAGATTGTTTAGGTTTAATTTTAAAAAGATTATTTTGCAAACATATCTCCAGAAGAATCAATGTAATTCTACAAATCTGAAAATTGAAACAAAATCAGTTAACATTTAATTTATTTTTATGATCTATCTATCTATCTATCTATCTATCTATCTATCTATCTATCTATCTATCTAATTAATAACTAATTTAATGCTTAAATTAAAACTACCTATGTGCGTATATGTGTAATTATATATATGCATTAATATCTCTTTCTCTCTCTCTCTTTATATATATATATATATATATATATATATATATGTGTGTGTGTGTGTGTGTGTGACTTCGAAACCTATATATGTAATAGTTTTCCCCATCCAGCAAAGATTCTTGTTGTGTTCTCCTCAGGTAAGTCTCGTTTGAGATTAATTTTAGTCTGAAAATGGAAAAACGTCATGAACGTTTGAGTTGATAAAGTTGCATCTATTTTTAAACGAAGGGTTGATGCATATTTTATCTACGCAAAAATAGATATAGTGATATATAGGATAATTGTTGGAAAAGTACATTTATACCTATTTCAAGTCTCTTTTCACCCAACCACATCATTTTGGCTAATTCACGGATATTACTGTTATAAGTTCCCTTATGTCCGCGCAGGTATCTAAGATTTTATTGTGTTGAAAATATTTCGTCAGCCACGAATAATAAATTAGTCAAAAAGCTAAATTTTTGGCAAAATACTATCAATATTGTGGTTACAATCTTGTGTTATTTTCAGCGAATAATATTGTTGTGGATTCCGGGATGAAATCCGGTCTCAAAATGAATGACAAACGCAGGTATGAAATAAAGCAAAATAAATGTATTGACATAATAATACAATTGGTAATACGGTTAGTAGATCCAGAAATGCGGTTAGTAGCAATAATATATATATATATATATATATATATATATATATATATATATATATATATGTGTGTGTGTGTGTAAATATATAGAAAATAGGAAAGAACTGGTTAGGTAAATAATCCAAAGTTCCTTAGTATTTTAGTTATTATTTTTAAAAAATAGTGCTCGATACAAAAGTAGAGCATAAATATAATTATTTATTTAAAAATATGATTCCAACTCGCGACATAAGAGGTCTCATGTTTCAAAACAGGAGCCGAAAACTTCAATATAATTATTTGAATTAAATTGAGTTAAAGTAAGCTCTGTTCCATCTTCAAGCGAAATTTTTTTTTGGAATAACGTATTTCTGAAATTTACCTGTTTCAATAATTGAAATCAAAATTTCCATGGTAACAGCTAGGGCGAATTGTTTAAATTGGGTAGGCGTGTGTTGGGTGTTAATAATAAGTATCAGTATAGAGTTACTTTCATAGATGTCAAGTCAGGGTAAGGTGGGGGTGTCTAAATTTGAAACGGAAGATGTTTTAGCCTAGTCTGGTTTACGTGTCTATGTAGATTTATTTATTTTTTTATTTTATTTCTTTATGAAAGGTATTTGTGCATATAAAAAAAAAACAAAAAAATCTGCCGTGACGCTGCTACCAAGATGGCGAAAGTTGATGGAACAAAATGGAGAACATTTGCTTAATTAAATCTATGTACAAATAGCTCAATATTATATTTGAAATTCAATTAAAAACGCTACAAAATTATGTTCTGACCAAATACATAGGCAGCTAAAATGAATATTTTTGAAAAGTATAATTCATGATAGAAAACGTTCGAAAGCTAAAGAGATCTTTACTTTGTCATCAATTCTTTGAGAAATGTAGAAAACTATCTCTAATTCCCAACGGCTATCGGTTGAATAGCATAGAAGCCTGGACTCTTCAGCCATGGTTGACAACGTATACAGGAGAAAGACCATTCTGAATTCATAAATGCTTGTGACCCTCTGGTGTATTGCATTCTTGAACTATAACCAAAGGCCGATCAGCATAGTTGCAGTATAAATTCCAGGTTGGCTTTATAGGTGTGGAAGAAACACAAATGGGCCCGTGCAGAGGCGCATGCTCAGAAACGAGCAACCTTGCTGAAAATGAGAAATCATACTGACTTTTATTTTAAAATCACTGATATATGAGTGTAAATATACCTTTTATTGATCAAATTGCAAAAGAAATGCTTTAATTATATACTATTTGTCTCCGTATATCTCACGTAGTTTCTTTCGCACTTTCTCTATGTGTCCAGACCTCACTTTCCAGTCTTGATAGAGTTCAAAAAAGCGTCTCCGAGTCATTGTTAGAGAGAAATTATTTTCTACCCTCCAACCTCTCTCTCTCTCTCTCCCCTCTCTTTCCCCGTCTCTCCCCCTCTCTCTTTCTCTTTCTCTCTCTCTCATAGGCGAGACGGGGTCTCTATCGCTCCTTCCATGGAAAGTGCTCGGACGAACTACATTTCTTGATTCCGCCAGAACTGATCTTCACGGCTAGGACCTAAAATTTCACTTACACTGTAGCAAACCAACTACACCGTCCTGGG